GGGCGGGACCACTCGCGGCCATTTTGGGTAGCTCCAGTAGAGCAAATTTTTTGGCCCATTAGTTAGAACGGCAGAGAGAGGTGTGACTCTGTCCGTTAATATACTGTATACAGTCTATGGTATGAATTCAGGCCGTATAAAAGTGCTGAGTAGAGACTTCGCCTCCACTCACAGAACGTGGAGCGGTGCTGTTACGAACAGGCTGCGTCCTCTATCCTCTACAGCGCTGCTAAACACAGCAGCATGTTAGCAGAATTGTCTATAACTCTTCTTGCTGTAACTGCAGACACAGCAAAACAGTCCAAACGACACAACAGTGAGGAAGAGAAGAGGGAACTAAAGCGAAAAAAATGATCAAAGAAGAAATTAAGCCCGGGTGAACATAGCTAGCTTACATTGTATCCTCTGGAGAGACTTGTCTATGGGAGAGACCTGAGGGACTACCTCGGACTATCTATGCTCGGACTGCATTCGGATGCAAAACTAGCGGTAAACTTTCAGTTATATATTTTGTTAGCAGTGCGTTTCTTTTGTACCTTTTCATCAGTGATTGTTGTACAGCTTACGAGAAGTTGCGCTTCTAATAAAACTAGATGGCTCAGTGGAATGAGAGCTTAGGGGAAATGAGAAGCCTGTGAGCGAGTTGAGGAACGAGCGAGTTTTATTGTTAGACCTTTTGGAGGAGGAGTGGAGCACCGGCAGCGAGACAAATGAGAATGGGAGTGAAGGTCATCTCGTCTTGTCTGTATGAGTCTCGTCTGTGCCTGTCTTGTGTGTCTGTGTCTCGTCTGTCTGTGTCTTTTCTGACTGTGTCTCGTCTGTCTGTGTCTCTTCTGTCTGTGTCTCTTCTGTCTGTGTCTCGTCTGTCTGTGTCTCGTCTGTCTGTGTCTCGTCTGTCTGTGTCTTTTCTGACTGTGTCTCGTCTGTCTGTGTCTCTTCTGTCTGTGTCTCTTCTGTCTGTGTCTCGTCTGTCTGTGTCTCGTCTGTCTGTGTCTCTTCTGTCTGTGTCTCGTCTGTCTGTGTCTCGTCTGTCTGTGTCTTGTCTGTCTGTGTCTCTTCTGTCTGTGTCTCGTCTGTCTGTGTCTTGTCTGTCTGTGTCTCGTCTGTCTGTGTCTCGTCTGTCTGTGTCTCGTCTGTCTGTGTCTTGTCTGTCTGTGTCTCTTCTGTCTGTGTCTCGTCTGTCTGTGTCTTGTCTGTCTGTGTCTCTTCTGTCTGTGTCTCGTCTGTCTGTGTCTTGTTTGTCTGTGTCTAGTCAGTCTCTGTCTCGTCTGTCTGTGTCTTCTTGCTTGTCCGTCCCCTTTGTTTTATATATTGATTAATTCCTGTGTGCATCTTTTTTTTATTGTCATTGCCTTTCAAAGTAACAAAGGACATTCCATTATAATCTGGCTTTTTCTATATATACACCTTCCAAGTAACATCACACCAATGTGCTGGTCGTGGTAGAGTGTGGCAGTGAATTTGTATCATACAATGTGCTACATAATCATCCACATACCACAGAAGGCTGTACTGTTACAGGTGAAAATATGTGTCTTGAAAAGTTCCTTCAATGTATCCACATGAGATAAGATTAAATAAATGTTTATGGTCCCAAGGAAAATTGGCTGTGGGATGCAGTGCTACACAGATCTGCATGAATTAATTAGAAATAAAAAAAGGAATAATACAAGAAAAAACATAGACAGACTTGCAGTATACAGTGCTTTGAAGTCTCTCTCTTCATGATGCTATCTCTCTTATAAAGTGCAGTTGGCATCCCTGCACCTAAACAGCCCCACAACATGATACTACCCCCCTCCCCCCACACACACACACACTTCAGAGTTCACATGGCCATACAAGCTTTACCCTTTTCACCCACAATTAACAAGTCATTATGGTCAAACTGCCCGCTTAGCGTAAGACCCTAGACTTATCTCTAAAACCAACTTTCAAATTGTAATTCTTTTTTTGGAGTAATGGCTTTCTCCCTGTTGGCCGTCTGTCCGGGTCAAGTCTGAGGCCAAAATCTTCACATGTAGAAGATGTGCATATTTAGCATATTTTAGGCAGTTGATTTGCACATTTTGGACCAAAACTTTCTCAATACGATTAAAGAACTGTTTATGTTTTGACTAGTACTTTATAAATTGCAACTTTCTCCCAGGATGACAGAAGAGGCTCTAATCTCAGGCTATTTTCAACGATTATTTTGACGATTGATTTGTTGGCTGATAATTCTTTGGCTAAATCAAATTGTAGTTTGTATCCCGAAAGTTTAGTGGATATCGGATTTTTCTACATTGGACTAAATCAAAGGTCAACAGCTTGTTACACATCGGGTTGTTCTACAAAATAATACTTTGTAAACACATTTTAATTTTATTCTGCAGTCATTCTAAAATTATCTGAGTCATAAAACTTGTTCTCAGCCTGTGTAAGTCTGTGAAAAATATATACAGTATATCAATCGATTACTAAATGTGTTTGTTCAGTTTGTTTTAGTAGTTTAAAATTTAGTTCAAATAACATTATCAAGAATGTTAAATAAGGGTATATAACAGCTTAAAACATGTGTGTCCTAAATGTCCCACACAGTCTGCAACAGCTACAGCTCATTAGTGGAAGGAAAATTGCGGCTATAAATGTATTTCTGTCTTTCTCTATTTATAAAACACTTTGCTCTGTGTTTGAGTGTATTATTAGTTGAAATGAAAAGGTCCAACAGCTGTTTATAAAAGATGAATATAGAACTTAACAGGAATAATGCATTGGTTATATAAATATAAGTGGGCTTCAAATGTCAGTATTAATTCACTCCATCCTCTGTGGTGATAATCTGCTACTGTAGCCACATCTGCCCTGGGGAACACTGACAGAAGCGAGGTCACGTATGTTCCATCTGCCCCTTTAACCCCCACCGACAATTCACACACACATCAGACCCATCACAGTACAAACCAGGCCCTGCCCTGCTTAGAGTCAGGGGTCTGACAGGATCTGGTTTTTCACATGGAGGCACCAAAAGTGCTTCATACATGTACATTTAATGCTCCATACTAAACACAGAAGGATTACTTTTGAGTTTTAGTTCTAAGTTTTATTCAAATTGAAAAGTAAATTTATCGGCTTTGCTCAGCCCTGAATGGCACTTCAGGACACCTCAGTAAATCAGAACTTTTCTCTTTGCAACATGCATTGTTCCCTGATGAAAAACAGACCTAGAGTTGCTTTTAGCTTCATCCACACTACAATCTCCCCTCTCCCCTCACGAAATACTCCTATCTGTGGAATCAAAGCACTTCTGGCTCATCAAACAATTACAGAATTTCCTATCTGCTTCTGTGCAACTTGCATCAATCTGTGTCAATTATTCAGGACAGACACATACAAAAGTAAATACATGTATTGCTGTGTTACTGTACTGAGACTAGACTTGAACAACACCAGTACAAGTCGGACTCGCATACAGGATGTGCTAAAAAATCTTTTAAATGTATACATAGAGAGAGAGACATTTTGTTTTGATATTTTGACAACTAATCTTCAATAAATGACATATAAATGCATCAATAGTGTTGCATGTTTGTTAAAATGGGGTAGGGCGTTCGATGAGGGCTTTTTCCATGGCATCTTAACATATGGTTTAGAAAAATGGAAAGTAATCGTATGGCAGGCTCTCAAAGACCCTCAGCTCTGATTGCACACACTAATCATGACAAGTGTGTGACCACGGCCGACACTGCAGCTGGAGAAAGGAAAAATAGGTTTGTGTAGTCATCAATACTGGACAGATGGTGCATGTGTGTTTCAGTGTGTGTGTGTGTGTGTGTGTGTTGTTCATGAGGTCAGGCAGAACAAAAGGACATGAGAAGGCGCAGCGTAACAGATCTGATTTGAAGATGAGGAATTAGGACAAAATGCCAAAATCGTTAATCTCTGGGTTCCGAGTGAGGGAAGGGGCACAGACTGGTGCGGTGTGTGCAGTGATACGGTCTCTGTGTCGGACTGTTGCGGTGAAGATGAAGCCAAAAGCAGCCTACCGGTCAATCCACCCACAACAATTGTTATGGGCTTTGATTATTGACGGAGAGACCGGCTGAGGTGGCTTTGGCATTCGTTTTGATTGCCTCTTGGCGAGATGTTCCAGGGGAAAAGAAGTTGGAAAAAAGGCTTTTGTATACTGTACGACTTCCACATGAAAAGTGTTGCAAAAAGACTGGAAATTACCAGAACTTTTCTCATTGATTGCTTTTTAATCGAGATTGAGAGCACTTGAGTCATCCTCTTTGACATGTAACTGTTTTTATAATCTGTACTTTTATATAACTGTGTGTAGCATTTGCTGCCTCTTGTCCAGGACTCGCTTGGAAAAAAGGTTCTTAATCTCAAAATAAAGGTTAAATAACAACGAAAGGCCCCACAAGAAGACCTAAGACACGATGGATGGATTATGTCTCAGCTGTACTACAAACACCATCACAGTTTCCCTCACGAGCTGAAGGAAAGGTGTCTGGGGAGGTGGAAGTCTATGATTCTGCTCAGACCACATACTCTACAATAAGCACATGAACGTTAATGTATGCGTATTTAAAAAACTTTCTCAAAGACATGGTCAAATTGGAGTTTATACATTTACACACTACAACGATTGGAAGTGTTGAACATGGAGGATTTGTGGCTGAGATTGTGATGATGTATTTATCTTTTGTCAGTACACATAAAAAAATGTATCCCTTGTTTGTTCAAAATGAAATATAAAAGTTTGAGAATGGATGAAAATATATCTGTGACAACTATATTTTATCATTGCTTTTCTTGTGTTTGAACGGATTGATTCTCTGATCTGTGTCGGCGAATTCAACGGTTTTGTAAAGTCCTCTCAGATAACTTCTGATTTAGGGCTATGCAGGAATACATTGAATTGAATTGAGTTTAGATCTTGATAGTCGGATGGCATGATTACAACTCTTGTCAGACACGATATGAGCTGAAACAGGACCAAGCCAGACCCTTACCCTGGAGATGGCGAGGGGCATGTTGAAGTCTTTCCCTCCCTGCAGTCGGAAGCCCCAGGGAGCAGGTCCGATCAGGGTCACGCTGTACTGGCTCATGGTGCTGTGGCCGAGTCTAGTGTAGGCTGGAGGACTGGAGGACTGGAGGACTGGAGGACTTTGGTTGGATCAGGGCAGGTCTGAAGATAGAGAGATAGAGAGACATGAAGGGATCTACTTTAAAACTTTCAGAGCTACAAAACAAACCTCACATTTATGCGTTTTTTCTTTTTTTTAAGTTACCAGTAAGTAAGTAAGTAATCTTTTTTTTATATACCGCCTTTCACAAACCAGAGTCACAAAGTGCTTTACAATTGGGGCATTTGTCTCTCACTCCGCACAGAGATGGAAGCGGGGGTCGCCCGTACAGGAGGCGCATGCAGACCTATTGTACATGTTTTTAGGGGTAGGGAAAACCGGAGCACCAGGAGGAAACCTGAACAGACACGGGGAGAACATGCAAACTCCACTCAGAAAGGCCCTGTTCCTACAAGCATTTGAACCCAGGACCTTCTTGCTGAACTAAAAGTACTGATTATAATAATACATTGCACTTTTTTGGGCACTCAAAGACGCTTCACATGGGGAATAAAATACAAAAACAAAAAAAGGAGGTTTACAGAAAAGTTTGTTTGAAAAGATGGGTTTTGAGAACTGATTTTGTAGAGAGTCAGAATTTCTAATGGGTAGTGGGAGTGACGTCAGGGGTATAGGAATTTAGTATTTGTTTCTTTGTTTGCTAATGTTCTGCTTCTAACTCACATAAACAAAAGTATCTCCATCTCAGGAGTCAAACACTGTCCTTATTTTTTCATGTACTTTTGATGTTGTTGTTTTTGTTTTGTTTTTTAATCTAATTCAATCTGTAGCACTTTGAGGTGTCTTTTAAATGTAAGGTGCAATTTAAATGATGTTATGTTCTTGTGACGCTATAGTAAATACATGCACAGATTATCATCCCGCTTGTACATTTTGTTGATGATGCTGTGGACCTGAAACAGTTTTTATAGATGTGTGTAAACTGGAAAGTCGACAGATTTTTACACAAAAGCAAAACAGATCTCCATGGCTCTGTCCATGCTGTTCGGACAGACAGCAAACAATGACAAAAAGTGTGTTTTTTTTCATTTATGTGAGCATAGTTTGTAAGAAAATCACATAAAATGAAAGAAGCATAACTTTTTCTTACTTCAAAATAAAAATGGCAACAGAAATTCACAATATAAGACTAAACAGCGCAGTTTTATTGGAAAATCACAAAAAACTTTCAATTAAACTAAAACTATGAACATGTATTTGACTAGTTGTTTGTCATAAAAATTAAAATCTTTCCATTGCTATAAATGTCACTGTTTTGAAGAAATGTCTTAAACTGTATGTTAAGTCAGTAAATAAAACAAAACAAAAAATGAACAACCATATCTAGAATTCAAGTATTTTCAAATGACTTACAAAGAGTAAACACTGACTAATCTGAGAAACATGCACTCTCTATTCTACATACTAATTATTGTAACAAAGATTTGTTACCTGTAATGGCAGAAGCACAAATCCAGCGAGTGTCCAGTGATTGTTAGACGATTGTTAGACGATGTAATCCCCTGATGCAGACTGAGGCTGTGAGGGTCCTGTGTGAGAGGGGTGTACCCAGGGGGAGGGGCCTAGGAGAGAGAGAGAGCGAGAGAGAGAGAGGTGTGGGGGGCGAGCGATGGGAGGTGTGGGAGCAAGGCAACATGAGAAGCAGGGGTGCCAGATAATCAGAAGTATAGACAGTGCCAGAAAAACAATAAAGCATTCAGAAAAGTTGATTAAGACATAATATGAAAAATCTACTTTTTAAACATGTTACAATATTGTCCCTCGTCAAAACAGACCTGGAGATGTTTGTAGATCCTTCTTTGCTAATATTAGGAACTTCTGGCACAAACATGTACCTTCACCCCTTCTGTCTAAAAGCTCCTGGTTCAATCCTCTACTTATTCAATGCAATTGTTTCACTATGAGCATGTTTCGTAGAACATTAAACACGTTTTAAAAGTATTTATCCTAAATTAGTTTGGACAATTTCTCTGAAATTATTTTCTCTACAACCATATACAGTAGCTGTGTTTGGGTGTTACAGGCTGAAAGCATTTTTACCAGTTACTTATATATTTGTGCTTAAAATTAAAATGACAACATACACAGACTCGTATAGTGATAATTTATGGCCAATGGCTTTGGCTAATTTCCCACATCAGACTCACAAACACAGCTCACTCATTATGTTTTCAGTGGTAAGGAAAACCGGAGCACCAGGTGGAAACCTATAAATATACAGGGAGAACAAGCAAACTCCACACAGAAAGGGCCCATCAGGAAGTGGATCGAACACATGGACGCTATGCTACACGCATGGCGCCCTAAACAAAAATAAAACTCCTCTTGCTCAGTAGCTGTTAGTGTCACACTTTGTGGTTTAGATCCTGAAGTTTCTCCTGTTTATCCAGATGTGTTAACGCTAACACTCTGACACTGATCAGTGTTGGGACTGATAGTAAAGCCTGCTCGTGTTAGCTCTAATCAGCCTCTCCTGCATCAAGACAAACACTACGGGTTCTCTTGCTTCTTTATTAAGCTGAAGTAAGAGATTTTATATTATTTTAGTATAGAGCTATTGTTCATTTATCTTGTGCTGTGTGCTCCTCATTCCCACTGTTCTGTAACTAGTGATGCAACACTGACATTTCCCCACTGTTGGACAAATAAAGGTTCTCTTAATATAAAATAAGGCTATAGCACCATCAGTACCTTCTTTTAAATCACTTCTTGAAACCCACTTTTATGGAATGGCCTTCACATAAATGTATTTTACATTTCCACTTTGTCTTTCTTGTTGTCTGTCTGCTGTATTCTGATGTACAGTATTTCTCTTTGATATCGTTCAGTATTTTGGCTGTTTTTACTGCTTCATGTGACTGGGCAGCGCTTTGTAAACATTGTTTTTGAAAAGGACTATACAAATAATGATGTATTATAATTATTATTACTATTTTTTATTTTCATCATTTGTATATGCAGTCTATTGTCCAAAGGGGCTGTGAATGGGGCAGACCTGGCAACCCTGATGCCAAGAGGAAAGGGCTGCACTGGGTTTATCTTTCATCCCGAGTATTTTGGGACCATGGACTCAGAGGTTCAGTGGAACTGGGGATTATGTCTCTTTAAACGAGACGAAAAGGTCCCAAAGGTCAGAGGAGAAATGTGTCTGGGATCTATTCACATTTCACTGACCAAATGTTTGTTGGGGACTTTATCTGCAGAAAGATAAAGAAAGGAACCGTAAGTCACAGACAACCTGAGAATAACACAGTGTTCTGTCATCACACACAGATCTGCAGTTGTTTTTAGCTTCATCCACTTTCAGGATTGTTCCACACAGAGTTATCCTTTTCCCATCACAGAATACACCATGTTGAATTTATCCTGTTAAATCTGTTAAAACATTGTTGCCAATTTAGTTTCCAGCCAGTTACATTACATTTATATATTTATTTAAGTTTTTCAATTGTGGACATTACAATACACCACATATTACATTATTTTTTTCTTATTACATTGTAGACATTTCTTGTATCTTTAAAAAAAAAGATAATTTCTCTTTTCCCATTGGCACATCTTGTTTTATGGCAGTAAAAATGTGCTCAAATTGGAGATACACTTTTATCATACTTTTTTAGCAATTTGTGACTTATTTCTGATCACTTTTTGCAGTGCACTCCATTCTGACGCCTCTGTTTTAATAACGTACATTTTCTACACAAACACAATATTTCAAGTTCCAAAACAGAAAATGCCATTGTGAAGGTTCATATACAGTAAGGGCCAATAATAAATTAGAAATAACACAAGTAAAACAATACATTTGGATTAATTTTCTATTGGATCATCTTCTTTTAAACAGTACAAAATTACAGTAATCAAGATGAATACAACTTACATCACACACATATTAACCTTTTTAAAATCATCATCGTAGGTTTTCCAAATTCTGTCGATCCATCTTTCTCATATTTCCACAATATTCCCAACACAATCCTCTTGCGGATAAAGTGCTTTTTGTAATCTAATCCACAGGAGCGAGATTGCCCCTTGTGGAAGCTTTGTTTATGTATTATTTATTTATTAAGTCCTGACAACGGATCGTCTGTCTTCGTCAAAACTCAGGTTTATTTTGGATCAGACAGTTTGACAACAACACATGATTGAACCATTTAATAACAAAGCATGTGTCTGTATGTTATTATAGCATGTTTGTCTAGCTTTTAGGCTTATATTTGAACTTTTAAAAGGCTTAAAATTAAAAGTGAAATGCCAAAACTGAATGATACCATTTTTGTAGTTAAATCTCTATGTATATTTTCCTTTTCACAGACAACTTCACAAAGAAATATGTCAAGTTTATTTCCCCACAGACGGTATCTTTGTCAGGTGGGGGCTATCGACTTTTGGTTTTAACCCAAATTGTGTATTTTTGTTATTGTGACATTTCTGCATACAATGATAGTGTCACATTTCTACAGTAGACTTCATGTTGTTTATAGATCCATGGATCACTGCAGACGCTCACCTCCCAAACACCCCCTAGGCTTTGTCCCTGTCCCAGGCCCCATATGTCCACCTCTCCTCAGCCCTAATGATCCCAGCTTACCCCCCCAACGCAGACCCCCACCCACACACACTCACACACACGCACCCACACACACATACACACACGGCTCTAATGTGGCCCTTTAAATGACTCCATGCATCCCAGTTGCGCATCTGCTGCATTGTAATCGTAAAGCACACTTTTCACCCTTTGCCCATTAACACTCGGACTCCCACAGTTATGAATCTGTACTAGAACTCCCAGAGCCGTCGTTTTGACTGCTCCCATTCAAACCAATGGAATTATAAGAAATTCAATTTTCTCACTAGGTTTGTTTAAAGGCTAAATGATAAATACCAAATGCTAACTGCTGACAGTAAACGTGTGTTTCTATAGTAACCAGCTCTTCAAAGATAGAACTACTTACGCTTAAAAAACACAATATTTTCTTAAAGATAATGACTATAAACTATTAGAGAAACAGACAAAAAAACAGAAAATCCCCCCAGAACTGTTCAGTTTTTCACCAGATCTATTAACAGTAAGTCTTTTACAAGGTTTTTTTTTCACCTTTATTAACTTTTACTAAGTTCAAAAACAGTTTGTTGAAAAGCTAAATGCTAAAGACCAAATGCTATCTGCTGACAGTAAACAGTGCAATGCCATGGTAACCAGTACTTCAGAAAGAGACAGAACTACCATACTCACATTTCTTAAAGACAATGACAGAAATAAACTATAATAAACCACTAAAGATACTGAAAAAGTCACAAAATTATGAAGACCAAAAAGATACATACACCGAGTAATTATACTCCTACAACAAAAAGCCGTCAATTTGACTGCTCCGGGAGTTCTGGGAGTGTTAAAGTCAGTTCAATTCAATGTATTCTTGTATAGCATGAAATCACAACAGCGGTATCTCAGAGGACTTCACAAAGCTGACGATTAGCCAACACAAATCAGAGAATCAAACCGTTCAAACACAAAGAGTGCAATGATAAAAACACATTATCTAGTCCATTTTCTGTAAATCAACTGTTTATTTTTTGTATATTTGTCTTCTTTTTCAACATAAATATCCCCTCAAAGAGTCAGGATAACACATTTGTTTATAGAGGCAGGAAAGCGCTCATAATAAAAATTCAACTCAGAGCATACTATGAGGGGAAGGGGACTAGTTAAAATTCATATTAGTATGACGCCCAGGTTTGTTTTTGATCAGGGAACAGTAACATGCATTAATATGGTTCTTAGAGAATAAAGAACACATTACAATCTCATGTACAACTGTTTTTGCGATGTTCTTTCCCCTTGTCTTCTCCTGCAGCGTTTTTGGATTTAGAAAAGCACATGTGGTCATTTTTATCATCAGCTCAAACCAAACAGAGAGTGTCCAGTGTGAGGTCAGACACTCTTTATGAACCTCTGTGGAAACTATTCAGACAGAGGAAGAGACTCCCACACACACGCACACACACCCACGCACACACACACACACACACACATACACGTACAAACAAAGGGGGGCTGGAGAGACAAAGATTAGGCTGGATGAGGACTGAACATGCCATGAAGGGGTGACGATGTGTAATTTATTGTTATCAATCAAACAAACTGCATTTTTTATTGTGTTTTTATGTATTTATTTACTTAATTTGTGGACATAACAATACACCAAATACTACAGTTTCATTTCAAATAATTGTAGTCCTGTCATGCAAATGAAAAGAAGCAGAAAGAAAAAAACGTCTCATTTACAGTGTATTTGAAAAAGGATTTTTACCTCATCAACTTTTCCAGCTGAAACTTGGACAGCAACTGATCAGAGATGTGGACAAGAGGCCTCTGGTAAATCTGTGTGAGCTGCATACTACTACTCATGTTCAAAATATACAGATACAGTATGTTCATGTGTGTGATTGTATCAAGATCAAAAGTGGAACATTTAATGGGGAACACTTTTTCAAGGGAATGTATGACACAGACGCCCAGTTCAGCTGCTGATAAACACACTAATTTTAGCGACTCACATCATCAGTTTCCACCGGACAAACGCACTCACACTCACACACACACACACACACACACACACTTACATTTACACACACACTCAAACACACACATTCTCTCACAGACACATACATTTACACACACACTCAAACACACACATTCTCACACACACACTTACATTTACACACACACTCAAACACACACATTCTCACACACGCACACACACACACATACAGACATAATACATGCACACATACACAGGCTCACACACACACACACACACACACACATTCTCACACACGCACATACACACACTCAAACACTGAACCTGTTGTTGTTCTCCTCAATAAACGACAGTCTAATATCTTTCCGTCATGTATTCAAAAGCTGCAACTTATATATATGTATAATTGTGCTGTAGATGTGTGTTACCTTTGATGCAGAGAGAATGTGCTTTCCTCTCATTTTTGCAGAATTGAGGAGCAAAACTAAAGAGTAACACAAGACTCTGTATTTTTCATATTGTTTAATAATTGTTTGTGTTTTGTTCTGCATTTCTGCTCATATCTGTCACCTTGCCCACCTCCCTCTAATGAAGCAATGACACTGGTGTTTCATTAGCGCTCTCTGCTGGTCATGTGTGCACACTACATACTACAAAGTAGTCTCAAAGGAAGTCATCGATTGTACTTTCATAAATGATGCAGTTTTTTACTCTGATATGATTACCACTTGGACTCCCAGAATTCTGAAACTACTAGAACTCCCAGAGCAGTCATTTTGACGGCTCCCATTCTAATTAATGGAATGGAGTTTTAGGTTTTCACTTGTAGTAGCTAGTAGTAAGTAATAGGGGTGTGACGATATGTTGATTTTTTGATATATCGATATATCGATTTTTCGATATGTCGCGATACTTTCTCCTGCGATTTGATTATTGATATGCATTTGCCAAGTATCGATATCAATTTAGAAAAAAAAAAAAAGATTTTTATTTTTATTTTTTTTAACAATTTTTTTTTGAAATTGGTATCAATACTTAATATACGGCTACATTACGCATCTCCATCCCATATATCATGAAATAAAGTGTATTTTTTCTTTTATTTCTGCCATAAATTGGCATATTGTATATTTCTGACCATTATATCGATCGTGATAAAATCGTTATCGTGATAATATCGTTATCGTGATAATATTGTTATCGTGATAATATTGTTATCGTATATCGTATTGTACCGTGAGGTACCCTTAGGTTCCCACTTCTAGTAAGTAACACTACATGTATCTTAAATACATGAAAAACTGGTTATTATCAATGAAATGCAGCAAAACGAAACGCCAACTGCAGCTGAAACTGCTATGAGCCAGTCTAGAACCAGGGTCGAGATGAATTAACTTAATAACAAAGAAATAATCTACAATTAGATACCGAAAAAGTCACAAAGAGTTTTTACACTTTCAAAAACAAGAAAGCTGTCGAATTGACTGCTCGGGGAGTTCTAGTGTTAAGCAATATTGACACGATTTGAAATATGATAATGAAAAAATATTAATGGCTTATTAACCGAGCGCGAGGTCTGTACGGCTCGGCCTTAATGTACAGACCGAGCCGTGGCGAGGTTTGTGCAAAAAGGTTAATGTCTGATATTTCTCTGTACAGACCGAGCAAGCAAGGTTAATAAATGTTTTATTATATGACTATTTTTAATTTATGCAAATATCGATCTCCGACTTGGTTTTCCTAATCGTGTTTTTAGCTTTCTGGTCTGCAACAAAGTTGTCAATCTCATCTTGTCTGTTAGTTATTTTTTCTTCGTTATTTGCTGTAATTTCTTCCTCTGGCTCGTCAAACTCGTCCGGATATTAGAATTCACTGGGAGAATGCTCCCAGTTGTCGACCATTATTTCTTTTTTTACCGAGGAAACTCAGGAAAGAAATCAATTGTGATATGCGCTGCGGACTGATTGTCATGGTAACGGTCCAAGGAAAGATATCAAATGTGATACGCGCAGTTTGGACCTATTGTCATGGTAACGGTCTGAGATTGGAAAATATCAGACCGGTAATCAGCCAATCAGAGCACGCGTACGGTCCAAGTCATATAATAAATTTAAATATGTATGATACTGCGGTAAAAACAAACAAGGTCCCCATTATTTGATTTTGAGGACTCCAAAATCACTTGATAATAATAATAATAATAATAAAACGGTTTTATATAGCGCTTTTTTGGATACTCAACGACGCTGTTCATGTACTACTACTGTAGCCACAGCTGCCCTGGGGCACACTGACAGAAGCGAGCACACTTGACGTGTTTCAGTCTTTTAATGTCTTTATTTATGAAAACAAAAAGCTTTGGTATGATAATAATAAAACTGCAGTAAACTAGAAATGGATTCTTGAACATTATGAACATAAGGAAATAAATGAGTGAATGACAAACGCAGTACCTCTTGTTTCCTGATGGGGGTGCAATCGCTATAGAGACTGTAACATGAGAAATCAAGTCATGTATTAGCTTCTCCTCTACTGCTGCATTCGTGACTGAACTATTTGAATAATAAAAATGGAAAAAACTACAAACGCAATTTAAAAACCTTTCTAAATTCAGTCCTTTGTCTAGTATACGTCTTTGTCTAGTATACGTCTCATCCCACACTATTTTTCTTGGCTTTTAATACCAGGTAGCTAGAGACACGTTTTCAGTTTTTATTTGTATCTATTCCTGTATTTTGTGTGGGGTTTTTTCACTTGCCAGTACAGCATTTTGGTAAGCCTAGGCTGTTTTATGGTAATTGTGATCCACAAATAAAGCACAAGCAAACAAAAGCAATATTTACATTTACGTCATCCTGAGTCATAATTTATTTGTTTTTTAACAAAAAAAATTGTGTTCAACCATGATGTTCTTATTTAAAGCCACATTTTATTCCAACAGATGACACTTCACATTATATTTCAAATAAATGAGTCATGGGCTGAGAGCTGATTGGCTGCTGCAGGAAGGAGTTTTCATTGGGACAGGTTCAGTGAGGTTTCGCAATGGATTCAAAGACTATAGAGAGGACAGAGCGTTCACTCCTCCCTTTGAGCCAATCTCAGAGGAACAGTTTCAGAAAATGATGTCCGGATGGGAGTCAAAACTGGGTCCATATGACTCTCTGTGCTGGATCACTGGACACTCTCCCACAATTCCAACCTGCACTTAAAACACATCTGTTCTGAATGGCCTATTCACTGTGAAACTATTTTTTTTTTTTAAATGCTTTAACCTTTCTTTGCCTTATACTTTGTACCTTTTGTAACCTTCAGTGCCCAAAAAGCGCCATGTGAAAGAAATGTATTGATATTATTATTATTATATTACAGCCCTTGGCTTTCATTTTGTTTCCTAATAATATTGTGTGTGTGTGTTTCACCATGTCCCGTGTCATTGAGGCGTGACATTGACCTGGAGAAACTCTTATGATTTTGATTGTGTTTAGTCAGTCCTGTTTTCAGTCGTCTCTTCGGCTTATTTTTGTGACACTTGGCTTTTGTCAGGGCAGCAGTTTTGAGTCACGTCCGTCAGTTCTGTGTAGTCCCAAAATAGTGTTAGCGTGTTAGCTTTTGTGTAACCGCTGTGTATTTATCCATTTGTATTTTGACCATTTGGTTATTGTCAACGAATCACATCTTGGTTTTTTTGTTACCTCCCTCACCCTCACTGAGCTGGGTCGAAACAATTATTGTTGTTTCATTGCTGCATTTGAGTTCAAAATGTTTCACAACAAAAAATCTCAAGAGCAGGTTGTGTAAATCAGTGATGTCTACTCTTTACCATGGGTGTCAAACTCATTTTGGTCAGGGGCCGAAAGAATAGAAGCGATTTCTTTTCTTATAATTGTTTTTACATTATGGTGATTTGACATGGCTTTTATGTGACATGAGTTTCACTATTATTTTGGTTACATTTTAGATTTAACCAAAACTGGACCAAATATAAAGTTAAACTCATTGTTTCAATTGTAATTTTTTAGCGTCTCATGATGTGTTGGATTAAGATGTTTGAAGAAATTAAATGTGGCTGTTTTCCTGAGAATATAGGATGTAAAAAAAAAAAATAGAAAATAACAATTGTAAACCGCTTTGTGACTCTGGTCTGTGAAAGGCGGTATATAAATAAAGATTACTTACTTACTTACTTAAATAAGTAATAATTGAAAATCATTTTAGGGGCCACTAATATTGGTCTTGCTGGCCGGATTTGGCCCACAAGCCTCAGTTTGACATGCCCGCTCTGTGCACTTCTTGCTCATGTTCAGGTTTGGATGTTGCCTGCAGGATCCCAGTCTCTTTCCTGACGTGTGAAATAATGATAATGTGGTTTTGGGGATTGTTCAAACGTCAACAGTCTTTTTTTGGTTTTGTTTCGGAGGAATATTGTGTTCATTCAACCATGTATTTACATTGATTTAACATGTTACATCACACAACTGAGTAGGAAGAGAGAGCAGCACAGAGGAGCAGAGTTGGAGGACAAGATTGACGTGGATGATTTGATTGGTAATGTGTGTGTAGTGGGTGCAGACAGACGGATTACACAACCTCACAAAAGTGGCAACACTCAAAAGCTCCTCTGTCTACCGCTCGGAACAGTTTGAAGACGGCACAAACTGGACACTAACAACTCTCCAAATATCCTCCGACTCCCCCTTTCCCCAGATGATCTTTAACATGCGGCGATTGAATGGATTTGAATTGATGGATTTTGTCACATAATTTATTGTATTTGTAATAACTTGTGTTGCACAAAATCTACCAGATTTATAGTATCACAACAAACAAATAATAAACTATTACTACGAGACAGTACCAACCAACCAAACATGAACCCAGAAGTGTTATCCCCCCTCTATATTTGGAAGATGGTCAGTGGGCCAGAAGAGAACGCTTCATGGGCCTGATTTGGCCCTTGGGCCTCGATGGCAGCATGTGACAAAACAGACTCTGAACCAAGTTTAAGTGCTACAAGATGCTTAAAAAAATTGCCCTCATAATCCATCCTTTTGGAAAACTGTTGAACATTTAGAAGGGCAAAATAGATCGGGAAAATATTGCAATGTGTGTTAACTTTGGAGAAAAAATTATGTTTTTGGACCGATCACACTTAAATACTTACCCTTGAAAATCCTGCTTTTTCATTTGGTCGGAGCCAGTGACAAACATGTTCCTACAAAAGTACAGTTCTGAAATGTGGGACTGTCGCTGAGAGGAAAACACATGGAAAGAAAAAACAATAGCAATCGCAGCAGGTAATGAGGTCTCACTCTGGCGATTAAACCCAAATCTTTATGAAATTAACTCATTCATTATTAAGCATGTACAAACGTATTCACACCTATTGTGACTAAAATGGCAACAAATTTAACCTTCATGAAATTTAGAAAAGATTAATGTTAAATTAGTTTAATGCAGATATAGTTTCTTTGGGGAAAAGAAAATACCACAATATATACACAATTTTTGCATATTACACTTTTTGATCCAATATTGTGCAGCTCTATTGAACATAACATCACTTTTCTATATTATGCTCAATGGATAAACAGCATCAAAGCATGTTTTGGCACCCATTGATAGAAATGGAACCCAGTAAACATTATTTTTACTCATATACATCCATGGTGAGTCGAGGGAGAGACTGTTGAAATGGTTATGGCTGTGGTTAGGGCGAACAAGGACTTTGTGTAGGTCCAGTTTGTTGTTTTGAGTTTTTCTCAGCTTCACACACGAGTTCTATGTCACGACAGCAGCTCCACCGCTTGGAACACCTCAGAGGAGAAGCTCATGGGTACAGTCACCAGCTCCTCTTGGTCCTCTGGCTCCTCCTCTGGCTCATCATGATCCTCTTTCACTAAACTGCTCTCTGACGTGGGACTGATCACGATTATCCGCGGAATGTTTCTTATCTGCGCTGCGTTTGCTCCCGATCCGGAGTCCGTGGAGCAGCTGCTGAAGGGTCTGGTCCAGTCGGGTCCGCGGTGGTCCCTTATCCCAGCGGAGTCCAGCAGGTCAGACAGGCTGTGGCTGCGTCTGTGGCTGAGCACCAGGGGCAGGGTGGCGATGGACAGAGAGTGGGAAACCAGGTCACAGGCGCTGGGGGACGGGCCAATCTGAGAGGAAACACACCGAAAAAAAATGTAAATAATACAATATGATAGTCCTATTAATGCAATACTCATGCTGTGTTCTGCCAAGCTAACTCTAAAGTCGATTACCAAACACAGTTGTGGCTTGCAGGCCACATACAGTCTATATTTGGCCCGGAGACCCTGCCCATCTGTTGATTACAAACCGTCCACCATTTTAGTGAATGGAAGTCAATATCCAGTGAATCCTGTCATGTCATTGTTTTCCACTTTATTATTCCATTTCTGGGTCGGGGGTTTGGCAATCAGAGCTGCTACCCAAGTCTCATAGCACCAGTCCCACACTGATCCTCCTGCAGGTGGTGGGTCCACGGGAAGATGGCTTCTCTGTCATCGACGAAATGGCCTTGGTCTTTCAGCGGTTGCAAGTTAATTTTAAAACATTTTCATCAATAATCTTAACCCTCACCTCCATCCAACCGACATGGACTAATCAAGCTATTCAAAAGTCTATAACATTTTTGGTCTATGGTTAATCCAAACTAAAACAAATACCCATACTCAATTAAAAATACCTCACAAAAATCATTCAAGAAAAGCCACAGATGCAGAAGATGAGCTAAATAAACAGTCTTTAAACAAGCACATATAAGACACAGGGTATATTGGCTCCATTTTCCTTCTCTTCTTTAAAAAATGTTGTTTATCAATGAAATACAAGTTTTTTTACATTATAAATTGAGGTAGACTTTGGTTTGTATGATAATCAAAGTGAAACAGTTACAGTGGTGGGAAAAAAAATGGCTAAACCCTTCTTTGGTCCAAAAAATCTCAAAGCTAAAAGGGAGAAAATCCGGACATTTTCCACATTTTGTCATGCGCTTGTACCTTATCTCTTGGTTTAGTGTGGTTCTTGGAGTTCTTTGGCAGCAGAGGTTTCTTTGAGGACTTGTGACTCAGCTTGTGACTGGAACTATGACTGGAACTGTGCCTGGAATTATGTCTAGACTTATGGCCGGTCTTTCGGCTGGACCTGTGGCTGTACATGGACACGCTTCTGGAGGAGGGGGATCTCTGTCTGCCCAGTGCGTCTACCTCCACGTCACGTAACGCCTGGGAACACAACAAAGCAGAACATAGGAAAATGTATAACTACCATCCTTTCAATACAACCTATAGTCTAGTATGTAGTTCTTAAACTTCGGAGTTCTAATGTCTAATAATTTTATCTCTCATACATGCAAAAACATAACCATTCCTTTACCAGTCCATAACCTGAGGTTCCACTCACGTCATGGGGACTGGTTTTACGTTGTGGGGCCCGAACACCAGACCCCACTGGTCCAAGCTTAAAAATCAATGGGTAATGCTTTTCCAACGGTCCTTATCCAGTCTCTGCAAAAACATGGAAAGGACCCCTGGAAGTTTACTTTCTTGAAAAAAGTGTGTTATGTGTCTAAACCCTGGTGGTGGAATGCAGGATATCATGGAGGGGCACACAGGGGCAATTTCCTTCCGGCAAGTTATCAAAACGTCCAGCAATGTTCAAAATGTGGACATCTACACTTTTTTTACGGAAGTAGGAGACATTTTCCCTTTAGTGCATGTGTGTGTGTGTTTGTGTGAACGTGCGTGTCATACCACATCGTTGAAGTGTGTGGACTGCCGGCTGATAATAGAGTCTCTCATAGATGATTCACTGACGGAGGAGGAGGTGTCTTTACGAGGTCCAGGGGCCAAGCAGCGAAGACACGGTACCTTCTCTGACAAAGTGGTTCTGAAAGGGGACATAACATGCCGATTTTTATAGCTTTTGCTTGTGTTCTTTTGTCTTTCAAAAACAGGTCCTTAACTAATATGAACACAGCCACAAGACATTCAAAGTCATTGTTGACGTTGTTCGCCAATGTTCTCAATCTTTGCGGTGCAGTAGTGAATATGCACTGCAAAACATGAAAAACATTTGGGGCAATAATTGGATGAAAACTAATAATTGGATTAGAATGAAAACTTGCAACCCCACCGGCCATTGAGAACCGGTTTGAAGACCACTGGCCAATAAAGTTCCTTCTCTTCACACCAAACTCACCCAGCCTGAAACAGTGTCTGCAATATATTCTCATATACTGTACTGTACCTGTATTTGTTGTGAATGATGGCGTAGATAAAGGGGTTGTAGATGGTGGAGGCTTTGGCGATGATGGCCGGAACAGCTTTGGAGTATGGGGACAAGATGTTAGCATACCTAAAAACAACATAAAAAATATTGAACGTGAATGTGGTTAACCATCAAGCTCCTCCCAACGTGAGGAGGCTCTACTTCGAGCTCCTTCCATGTGACTGAGAACTCCTCAAATGGTCTCTTACAACTAGCCCAGCAACTAGAATATTTATGTCATTACTGAAAGCTCATGCCTGGAACTGGGTGGTAACTTGTGAAGAAGACCCTATATCAGGGGTCTCCAACCTGTGGCTCAGGAGCTATCAGCAGCTCACCACACCCTTTTAGGTAGCTCCCTAAAAGAATCAAGAATTTAACAAAAGTCATTAAATACATAATTATTCTAACTATACATCTTTTCATTAATGCAGGGATACACTGTCCCGCATGTGTGTTCTTCATGATTTTCAGTAGTTATTATATAGACTACAATTGCATTACGACTAGATACTTGATTTGGAGATGTTGTTCTTCACACCCATCCACAAACCTGCATGTTGGACAGGACAACATTATCAGCAAACATACACTTTGTAGAAGGAAGAAGCACCCAACAAAATCAACGTTTTCAGTCAATGGCGGATTTCTATAGGTTCTGAGCCTTACAAGGTACAGCTTGTCCATATTGGCCAAGCTAAAGTTGGCTTTAAGTGTGGAGTTTGTTGTTCTCTCCGTGTCTGCCCAGGTTTCCTCTGGGTGCTCTGGTTTCCCCTACTACTATTGACATGTACAATGGATCTGGCATGCACCTCCTGTGTGGGGACACAGTTCCCATGTCTGTGTGGAGTGAGAGACAAATGCCCACAACAATTGTAAAGCGCTTTGTGACTGGTCTGTGACTGGATGACTTTGTGATCTATTGACAACTATCGACTAATGAGGGTCAGTGAGATAGAGAGCCACATAACATGAAACAGAGGGTTGGCCCGCTGTCCTTAGTTTGGACATGCCTGATGTAGACATTTTGGCCACAATTCCTTCAGCAGATATTTCTTTTTTCAGACCAGGGCAAGGTCTACTTTGTTGCCCGTGCCATTCAGAGAACCAGACAGGGATAGTATTCGTGGAAACCATTTTCAAAGTGGTAGCTGGACAAATAGGATTACTCAAAATGGCAAGAATCAATTCTTTTAGCAAGATAATGACAAGAAAATACATATCTCTCAATATATATTCATTAACGTGCACTCAGAGAAAATACAGCACGGACTTCCTGCTGATTTACTGGTGAGTCCTGATCTTATGATAAAAGCACATAGTGGTGATGTAATCAGTGTCATGGTGGATGAGACCCCACAAGCTGAATAATCCACCAAGTGACGGAGGACTGTGCTCATTCACATCACTGCTCCAAATGATACCCATGCATTTGTACATCCATCTGAACGGGCTTAAAGGGCCCAAATGTGTTGTGCACTCTTAGTGGTCTGCTGCTGTGACCTGTCCTGCTCCAACTCTGTGGCTGTGACCTAAAGTGCTGTTGTATGGACGGGTGGGTTTCTGTTGCTACTGGACACCTGAATTGTATCTATCTATCTAGTAAAGTCACTACAATTACAATCACACTCGTTGATAGAATCTGATATATGATGCAAACCATCTATTGGGAATTAGCTAGAAACAGTATGAACTCAGTATGTGTGATATGTATTTGTACCTGGTTTATTTAAATATGTGTGGTGCTGGTTTTTTTGCTTGAGAATGTCGTTAAAAAAACTATATATAGATAAACGATGAAGAAAGAGCCTAAACCAGCTAAATATCACTTAACAAACGGTGAGAGCCGTATTCTGCTCTCTGATTGGAGAATCTACAAAAAAACGGTAAACATAAACATAACGGACAAATTTTCCATTGTATTTTTTAAACTCCACTTTATAATGTTGGTTGATCAATTATCTGCGAAACCGATTAAAAGGTGTAAATGTAATTAAAAAACAAAATTTTACATACTGTCCCTTTAAAGCTTCAGTAATCAACTTTCAACCAACAAAAAATGTAACTATGTAATAAAATCAAATGTTGAAGATCATTTTCAAGGATTATCAAAATGAACGCTAATAAGTTGGCACTGTAAATTCTCTAAATGTGCATGAACAAATGTTTTTAGTTTCATATTTACTGACCCAGCCCAGGAGATCATGGTGACACAGGCGTACGGAGACCAGGACAGCACATACACCACAATGACCACAAAGGCGATTTTTGCCAACTTCCACTCGCTGCGGATGGACTTCTGCTGGATCAGAGTGGACTTCCTCACCTGAGTGCCCAGACGCGCCACCTCCCTGGCCAGAAACACACCGCTTTACTAGAGAGCAAGGGAGAATTACCAATATCCATAGCAACAACATCTCAATAGGACCAGGATCACACATGTCAATCCTCTTCACATTTGCACAGTCAAAATGACATTTAGGATGCATCCACACTGAGCTCATTGAAGTGAATATTCTATTTCACTTGGAGCTAACTGGTTCACTCGGGGAGAACTATGTTTATGTGTGCACACTGGTCTCTTTGTCTGGTTCACTGTAACTGGACCAAGTCTGGTTCACTTTGGGAAAGAATTGCTTCTCAAAATGTAAACTGACTTAAGTGACTAATAGACAATGGACTCGTGTTGCCTTGGTTGGTGGTTTTTTTAATCATAAATAAAGCCTTTGTGTCCAAGTGAACCAGAAATAGTCCAGTTAAAGCAGGGGTGTCAAACCGGTCCTAAAAGGGTTGGTGTGGCGGCAGGTTTTACTTCCAACCCAAGCAGGAGGACTCAAACCAGGAAATGAGGACACACACACACACACATATACTATCACTCGAGATAAAATAAAATACAAGCTTTTAACCATGTTTTTCTCATAAATAAATATCATCAACAAAAAATATAATCATGTTACATGTGTATCATATAATATACTGTAACCATAACTTTTTTCGAATCCCCCATATTGTTTGCTTTATTATAAAAGAATCTGGGTGGGAGCTTACTCTGACAGGATCTGGGAAACTGGAGCTATGTTTGCGGGAAGCAATAACTTAGCAAGCAAAGAGCGAATCTTGAGCGGTGCAGGTTTGTTCCCACTCTTAGTGTTCCCACTACTTCCTAGCTAAAGCTGATTTCAGACAGGAGGCCCCTGATTGGTCGGAATTTACGGGACATATTTGGAAAGACTTTTAAAATATAATAGATTATACAAAATAAAACATAAATAGATTTTTTTACCCCAAAATGAGTGTTACACAGAGGATTACAGAGCTTAAGGAGTTTATTTTTTCAATATAAGTGAATGGGAGCCAAAGCAAGTAGGAGCAAAACTTCGCCCATATGCACCCTTCTAGACTTCACAGATCCAGCGAATTAGCACTGTTTGTCTACATTTAAAGAGTCTATGTTAGAAACCTCCCGACCTCTCGTCTCTGTCTCAGTGTGATGTGGAATGCCTTGCTGTACCTGGTGGTCTTGCGTATGGCCCAGAACATGTGGAGGTAGCAGTAGAGGATGACTGTGAGGGGGATGAAGAACACGAAGCAGCAGAGCATCATGGTGTAGCTGCGGTTGGACACAGTGGAGGTCACGTAGTCCCATGTGCATGAGGTCATCAGGCCCTCGGGGATGTAGGAACCTGACACGTACATGTGCAAATGTTTAATGACACAGAAGACGATGGCACGGTTACAAACACAGAGCTTTACTTTTACTTTGTCCTCACACAAATACAGTTTTATACAGATCAAATACAATACAGGTGCTTGGGAAGGTTTGAAGAGTTGTCATTATCATTATTAAGATGATTTTATTTGGCCCACAGTGGGGAAGTTTCAGTATTGCATCACCAGTTACAGAATAGTAGGAAAGAGAAGCACATAGCACGATAAGTGATAAATGAATAATAACTCTATTCTAAAATGAAATAAACTTGAAAGAAATAGAAATAAATAACTTTAGCATAATAAGGAAGCAAATCTCAAATCTCAAACTTTCGCAAAAGGAAAAAGCAAGAATTAAGCAAGAAATGTCTGACTGAGTATAATAAAAAAGAAAGTGTAACATGCTGTATATTCTAGTGCAAGAAATATATGTTTGTATGTATACAAACATATATTTGCTTTACTGAGTTTGCTCACAAGCTGCTCTGACACCAGTGGCCACACATCTGCAGTGGACCAGTTCATATAATGGTGCGATGATCACCACTTACAAGTTCATGTGAACAAGACAAAAGAGATTCTTGTAGATCCTTGTTTGATAGGGGACCATAGCAACGTCTTCATTCATGGACAAATAATTATAACTGTTGGCACAATCATGCGTCAAATATTTGTGCAAAGATCCATCAGCGGCTGTACTTCCTTCTCAGGCTTAGATAATTTGGAGTGAGCCAAAATGTTATGTTGACCTTCTATAGAGCGAGTATTGAATCTATACTGAGATACGGAATCGTGAGCTGGTTTGGTAACCTCACAGTGAAATACAAATCACAGATCCAGAGGCTGCAAAAACCAGCCGGGAAGATCATGTGAGTGTCGCTGTCCACTCTGATCTCACCTCAGACTATTTTTGAGCAGTCAGTGATTAGACAGGCCAAGAACATCATCAAAGACTCCACTCAGGTTCTCTACTCACAATACGAACTGTTGCATTCTGGGAGGAGGTACAGGATCCTAGCCTGGCTCTGCCAGACCCTTGTAGTTCCGCCATGCTCCACCAGAGGCGTTTGGCTGAACCACATGGGTCTGGTATCGAGCCCATAGCAAACGCCTTCCCCAGATTATTTTTTAATCGACCAATCAGGATTGCCGGTGTTACGTGGGGTTTGCACTGCCTTCTCGAGCTTCTCTCATGCAGCAGCGAGAGGACTCCAAGATGGCGGACGTAAAGTCCGCAAATCTTTTTAAAAAAGTAAATACGATCGAATTAAGACACGGATGTCACTTGTAATGCAATTTGAGGCGAGATGTTGATGGCTCTATGTTGATAAATGTGTGTTTTAAGAGTCAAATGTTCCTGTAAAGTTTGGTTGAAGCACTGGTTCAGTGTTCCTGTTTACACACTATGCAGCAGGGTTGCCAGGTTTGGTGGTTCCCGCATATTTTTTCCAAGAGACTTGTAGGTATTAAATAAACAGAAAGACAATAAACAGAATCATGATAGCCCAAGTTGATTACATTACGTTTTTAGCCAAAAAATCCTTCTGAGTGTTTTTTTTTGGGGGGGTATTCTCGCGGATTTTGGGTTGGAAAATCTTGCTGGGATTTGGCAACCTATGGGAGCCGTGTGCTTCGATGTGAGTGGTTGAAAGCAGACTTCATTCAAGATAACGGACAAGTGGTCTATCCAATCACATACAAGGATTTTTTTTTACAAGGCCCTGCCTTCTGAAATCCAACCACTATGGCTCAGTACCAGACTCATGTGTGAAGTGCAGCGAACTACATGGGTCTGGCGAGAGTCAGGCTAACAGGATCCCACTGTGCAAAAGCAATAGGTTTGAGAACTCTTTTGTACCGCAGTCCATACGGCTGCTGAATAACATCAGGTGATTGTGCATTAGTGTCAACAAATGTTATGTGTGTATTGTCTGTTTTTGTGTCCAAGTGAACCCCCCCCCCCCCCCCCCCCCCCCCCCGCTCCAAGACACATTTCATTCAACGCAAAAAATGTGTCTGAATCTGAATCTACATCATTCTGTAGTGGTCGAAACACTTGGTTTTTTTTTTTTCAACAAATCAGAGTCAAAGTCAAATCCTTGCCTAATTAGCTAAATAAGTCAATGTATTACAAGTAATGAAGAAAAACATTTGTACACTGCAAAAAGTGATGAAAAATAAGTTTTTAAAAAAAATCTCAAATTTGGCAAAATGTATCTTAATTTGAGAACATTCTGAATGCCCTAAAGAAGATTGGCCAAAGATACAAGAAATGACTCCCTTGGAATGAGAAAGAAATGCAACAGATCTTGAAATAAAACTAAATGGCTTTTGTCCCATCAGCAAATTTTCTTTAAACACAGAATGTGTCAAATTAAGATAAAAAACCACTAGATTCAAACAATTATTACCTTATACTGTATCATTTTTTGCAGTGTAGTAGTGTATGACATGCGTACTTACTCCATCCCAGCAGGGGGGCCAGGCTCCAGGCCAGTGAGTAGATCCACACCAGGGCGATGGCCAGGGCCGTGCGTCTCCTGGAGCTGCTGTTCACGGAGCGCAGGGGCCGAGTGATGACCAGGTACCGGTCGATGGAGATGGCCAGAAGGTTCACCATGGATGTGATGCCAAAGAGAGCTCCGCAGAACGCATACAGCTTACAGCCTGCAGATCAGACCAACACTTTGTATTTCAAGAACATGATATAAGTCAAGAAACATGCGCTATTGTTTTCCAACCAGGGGTACTTGGGACTGTCTCAGATCTTAAAGTGTCCATGAAGGTTTGAAGAAGTACACAAGAAATAAAAGGTTGGAAAACACTGAGATCAGGGAGTGTAAATACAAAACTAACCTTTTGGGACTTCTAAATATGTATTATGCCTGGATTTGGCTGGATTTATAATTTTTGTCTGCCAATTGATGAAAGGCCAAAACTCAGGCATCATGGTGGAATCCTGGTCGGAACAGGGCCTATCTGTGTGGAGTTTGCATGTTCTCTCGTGTCTGCGTAGGTTTCCTCCAGGTGCTCCGGTTTCCCCTACCGCTAAAAACATGTATAACAGGTATGAATGTAATGAATGAGTGAATGGATGGTGTTAATTGGAGGTTTTGGTGAGCCAGTGTGGTCGGTGTGTAGCTTCCGTCATCACCGTGTGTAGAAAAAATGGAACAATATTTGATATCTGAACATAGTAAAGTGCTTTGAGTGACCTTGGCCTATAAAACGCGCTATATAAATAAACATTGCATTACTTTACATTTATTTACCCCTATAGGGACTTTACCAGTTTCTCCAAAGATCCACTCCTTATAGAGGCTGTTGATGAAGAAGATAGGAGACTGGGTGATGGCCATGAGGAAGTCACTGATGGCCAGGTTCATGATGAAGTAGTTAGGAAGGTTACGCAGCTTCTTGTTACTGTGACAAAGATAAATAGAACATTATACATTTGGAAAGATTTAATGTGATGTCAGTTGCATTAAACCTGTCAGACCTGCCCCCATATGTTCTGTGTTGAATCTGTCAGCCTGTGCAAACTACATCAACGCCTAAGACGTCCATCCATCCATCCATCTATCCATTTTCTCCCGCTTCATCCGTTGCCAAGTCTTGGGAGCAGCAAGCAGAGAATTCCCTATCCACACACACTTCCTCCAGCTCGTCCGGGGGGACCCCAAGGCGTTCCCAGGCCAGCTGAGAGACATAGTCCCTCCTCTCGGTGGGACGTGCCCGAAGCACCTCCCCAGGGAGGCGTCCAGGAGGCATCTTGAACAGATGCCCCAGCCACCTCCAATGGTTCCTCTCGACGTGGAGAAGCAGCGGCTCTACTCCGAGCTCCTCCCATGTGACTGAGCTCCTCACCCTATCTTTAAGGGAGCGCCCAGCCACTCTGCGGAGGAAGCTCATTTCGACTGCTAGTTTTCGCGATATCGTTCTTTCAGTCATTACCCAAAGCTCATGACCATAGGTGAGGGAGAGAACGAAGATTGACCGGTAAATCGGCTCAGCTCCCTCTTTACCACAACAGTCCAATACAGCGACCGCATCACTGCGCACGCTGCACCGATCCGCCTGTCAATCTCACGCTCCATCCTTCCCTCACTCGTGAACAAGACCCCGAGATACTTGAACGCCTCCACTTGAGGAAGCACCTCTCCACCCACCCAGAGAGGGCAAGGCACCTTTTTTTGGTCGAGCACCATGGCCTCGGATTTGGAGGTGCTGATTCTCATCCCAACCGCTTCACACTCAGCTGTAAACCGCCCCAGTGCATGCTGCAGGTCCTGGTTCATTGGAGCCAACAGGACAACATTTTCTGCAAACAGCAGAGAGGAAATCATGTGGTCTACGAACTGGACCCCCTCCGGCCCCTGACTGTGCCTAGAAATTCTGTCCATAAACACATTGAACAGAACCGGTGAAAAAAGGGCAGCCTTGGTGGAGGCCAACATGCTCCGGGAACAGGTCTGACTTGCTGCTGGCGATGCCAACGCAGCTCTGGATCCGGTCATACAGAGGACCCAGACCCAAGGAGGCTGGCAACCACCTTGGTGACCTCAGCCAGGGAGATGGAAGTATCTGCCCCAACATCCTCAGCCTCTGCCTCCGGAACGGAGGATGTAACAGGGAGAATGAGGAGAACCTCAAAGTATTCCTTCCACCGCCCGACAATATCCCCAGTCGAGGTCAGCAGCTCTCCACCCGCACCATACACAGCGTTGGCAAAGAACTGCTTCCCCTCCTGTGGCGCCAGACAGTTTGCCAGAATCTCTTTGAGGCCGACCGATAGTCATGCTCCATGGACTCTCCAAACTCCTCTCAGTCCCGGGTTTTTGCCTCTGCAACAGCCCGGGCCGAGGCACACTTGGCCTACCGGTACTGGACAGCTGCCTCAGGAGTCCCACAAACCATCATGGCTCGATAGGACTCCTTCTTCAGCCTGACAGCATCCTATGCGCCTACGATGTATCTGGCAGACAATTTCATCCTTGATCATTTTCCTCCAGTAATTATTCAAATTAAAAAACATGAGTTATAATAAGTCAAAACCAAAACATTTAAAATGAATAAGTAAGTTCTTGTCATATTACATTTGTTTGGATGAGTCTGATTTCCCACACGTAATATGTTCACATATTATAAAGGGAGCATTAGAACAATAGAGACAGGGCAAAATAAAAAAAAACAGAAGTATAAAATTGGTTTTATATTTATATTCATACTATTGACAAATTGACTGTAATTCTTGGATGATATATTTTATAGTTTGTTTGGATTCAACCACAACTGGGCCAAATATCAAGAGTGAGATGTATTGGAAGACTGATAGTTAAATATGGAAAATGTATATGGAGTTTAATTATAGATTATCCCATAGTAGCCTTTTTCCAATAATTTTAATAAAAATTTAAAATAATTTTCAGGGGCCACTAAAAATGGCCTTGCGTTTGTCCCACAGGCCTGAGTTTGATAAGCCTGGATTAGACCAACGGATATCTGAGTTTGTATATTTATTTATATTGTGACCTAACTGCAAATAGAACAGATAAAATGGACCGTATTTGAAGAGTTGAGGATTGGTTAATAATTTACTTTAATAAGTATTCAATGTTTATGTTTCTAAACAGGTCAGATTTCTAAAACATGGGGTAGCTTCTAAATAAGTTTTATTTCAATTTGTAATTGTAAGTGTAATTTCAGATGTGTTTTCTATTTCAAAAATGGTTTATACATATTTGAAATAGATGAAATGTATATGTGTTATTCAGTAATTTTCAAATCTGAAAACATCAAACATCATCATAGTAAGGTGTGTCAGTTACATTATTTATTTATTATGTGGAAATGTCCTTTTTGGTGAAGTGACCCCAAAACATATGTTTCAAAATCTATTGAAATCTATTTAGAGCACTGATGACGCACGCTCAGAAACTCTGTTTTCATTTGACTAATAATTGGTCTCTCTAAGTTTGGGCTTTTATCTTTCCACTGTGACCTCTGATGCTCATGTGCATTCGAACAAGAGCATTGTGACATGAGGAAATGACAATCAGTGTAATCTCAAGTCCAGATGGAGGACCAAACACTTTACCATTTACCACTGCACACACACGCACGCACACACACACACACACACACACACACACCACACAAACACACACACACACACACACACACACACACACACCACACAAACACACACCACACAAACACACACAAACACACACACACACACACTCACTCACACACACATGGTTTATCCCCCCCACCCCACCCCTCTGACCCAGTTGTGTGGGGTTAGCATTAGTGACCTCAGTGCACTCTTATCAGTGACATACTTTCCAACGTCACTTCCAAACATGTTCTAGTTATATTCATGCTCTCTTTTTGGTTTTTTTCTAGCAACTTTTCTAGCAAATCTTACAACTAAGACTTTTGGGTTTTAGGGTTTTTAGAGTTTTTTCCTTGCCAACGCAGGAGATTTCAGGGATAGTGGTGATGATCCAGGACACTCTACATTCTACGTCATTTTCACTGCAAAAAGTGATACAAAATAAGTCAAAAACTGCTCAAGTGTTGCAGCTATTGAAATAAGACTAAATATCTCGGCCTCATTGGCAAATCTTGTTTTAAGACTCAGAATGTACTCAAAAATATGATGAAATATGATAAAAACCACTGGATTCAAGCAATTACTACCTCATATTTTTTCATTTTTTGCAATGATGTATTTTTTTTAACAAATATAGACCAATGGCTCTATGTGGTTTTTACCATCGCATTTCTTGTGTTTGAACTGTTTGATTCTCTGATCTGTGTTGGTGAATTTTGACAGTTTTATAAAGTCCGTGAACACCACTGTTGTGATTTAGGGCTATACAAAAATAAATTGAATTGAACTTTTAATGTTTGAGCTCAAAGTGAGACCTGAGAGCAATCCATCTCCTTTTTACAGACTTATGAGCAGTCATGGGAATTACTTTTCCCTCAATTTTCAGCTCTCAGGAGAACATTAAAGATCATTTAAGTGTTGTACATTCCCCCCAGGAGAGGGCCCCACTCTGCTGCCATCAGGACGAGGCACCTGCCATGACTCACATCAGATGGGTCACTAATCTAGTTAATGGAATAGCACTGTTGCTTATAGAAATGTTTTGAAGAACACAATTTCTACTCCATGTGTCCATTTGTGTCCTTTAAAGCAACAGTATTCTCAATTCAAATTACATCCAGATCTTTTATATGAGTCCTCAGATGATACGTCAATGTGTACAAACACGATTGACGATATTTTTAATGAAAGTTTGAAGCAGCGTTTTTCTTACAAAATACAATGACCATAAAATTTTACTTTACCATTGTTAAGCCTATTTAATCAGAGAGCAGAATAAATATTTAACTTGGGTTGCCAGTTTGTTGGTGAAATAATACTGGTTTTGGTTTTTAAATACCTAGATTTATTTAAACTAACAAAAATCACACAAAAAAACAGTACTAGACATATTTAAATGAAACCAGGTAAAGAAAATAAAAAAGAAGTGATACACAGAGTTTGTATTGTTTGAGCTAAACTCCAGCTGGTGGTTTACATCAGTGACTGGTGCTTAGTAGATACATGAGTCACAGGTAGGACAATTCAGGAACAAAATAAAGTTGGATTGTAGTTGTACTAGACTCTTAATTGTGCATATTACATATTGTCTCTTTAAAGACTAAATAATATGGATTATTTTTGGCCATGAAAAATGGTAAAGAGACTATTTCCTTCATCAATTCAATTAATTTTGTTATTTAGAATGTGAAATAATATCTAAAGTTAAAAAAATATTTAGTGTAACCAGTATTAAGGGTAAATAATGCATTCTGCCCGCAACTCCCTATGCTGCCACCAGAGGGAGGATTTTATTAAAATAAAAAATCTCAAATTTAAAAATACCAGCTGCAAACACAGACATGGATTACAAAGCTCTCTCACCTGTAGAAGGCGTACATGACCAGAGCGTTACCCGCGACGCCCAGAGTTCCGATGAGAAGGACGACAAAGGCGATGACATAATGCACATGGTCCGGGACGTCCACTTTAGCAAAGATCTTCCCAGTGACCGGCTCGCTATCCGGCTCCATGGCTTCACCGGCCAACATCACTCACTCTAACTCGCAACATCTTGGAACAATGTCCTCTGTGCAGTCTAGATTAACTAGATTATTCCAATTGAGGCACAATAGTAAAGAACAAATTCAACGCAATTCAAATATACTATGTGAGAAACTTTTTAATGCCCAATATGGTTCCAACATTCCAATAAAAATGACAAATTCCCAAAAATGTGTTAAATATTGGGATTTGTCAAACTATTACATGCAATACATTGAGCACGTTTTCAAAAATTATGAAAAATGGTCAAAAAGCACAAATTATCCATGTGAGTTTGGTCCAATCCTTGGGATATGATCGTTTGTGTTGTTTTCCAGCATGTCACAAAAGCGTACAACAATTGAATAGGCAAATGTGCAAAAATTTCAAGGAAAAAACAATAAATAAAATTAAATTAAAGTCCAAATAATGTTCCGGTCAGCGGTGTCCAATGATTCATTCTTAGATTTTGAAAGAAGCACAAAAAAAAAAGCATTCACAAAAACATTTATAGAAAAAAGATTTACTTTAAAGTGCTCATCCTCAAGTCACATGCAAAAATGGGGATTTGGTGATGGCATAAATATATATTCAAGGATCTTTTGCCCATTTGCCAAACTATTAAAACAACTTGAATTGCCAGTTATGGAAAGGAGAAAAGTGGGTCTTCATGTTTCTTGCTTTCTGATAAATCACATCCAAAAATGTGGATTTTGTTGAATATGTCGAGTAACTTTGGTTCAAGTAGAAACCAGAAATTAACATCAAAATCCAGATACATTTCCAGGCAATTCAGTCCAAGTGTGAAACCAAAGATAGAAAACATGCGCCTCGTCTTAACCCATTGTATTAATTCCCATCAAAAGCGTGTATTTAGATACAAATGTCCAATAACAGGAAGTGGAAATAGATGTCAAACAATAAAAACATTAGTCTTCATGTTATTGGTGGATCAAGCTGCTCCCGAGTGAAGAAAATGGAGAGAGACAAAATATCCCGATTAAGTAATATAAAAACAAAAATGGATTTAATTACGGTCAGACAAAACGCGCATGAGAAACAAAACTAAAGTCCAGTGATGTTCCGGGCGGTTATGTCCAAATACCACTCTAAAAGCAAAAACACAAAAATTTGCAATTCAATTAAAAAAGCATATGTCCAGTCTTTTCCTATGGCAAAAAAAATGCAATAATCCCAGGGTCTGTTGGGTGGAAACGAGCCCACAATATATTCAAATAAAATGCAGTATGTGTAGATCATGTCCAGTGCGGTCCGGTCGATAGATACTTGTTGACAGATCGCCACCAGCCGAGCGTACGAGTGGAGAGGGCAGGGCGAGCGAGAGATGGGGGAGAGATAGAGGCTCGTGTCCAGCTGCTGTAATGAGCTCAGGAACACACACGCACACACACACACACACATATATATTTACACACACACACACACATTCACGGTGCTTTTCTTCTTCCCCATTTGATACATACACTCTGGTTGTCTCTATATATGCTGCTTTTTCACACACTGTTGTTTTGTTTTTTTTATATCTGGGGTATCTAACTTGTTATTGTTTATATTTTCTTTGTGTTCTATATATAAAGTGTATTGTAGTATGCAGCTCCTCGGCTATAAAGTTCTGTGGCTTTGAATGCTTGGCTTGTGTCTGCTTTGATATCCTCCAGGTGCTCCAGTAATCCTTACCACTAAAAAGCATATGCCACATCCCTGTAATGTGGTAATAATCCAGAAATGTCTTCAAATTGGTGAGCAATAGGTTATGGCCGTTAAATATCTGATCTGCTGCAAATTTCTGAGGAAAAATTGCGCTGAAAATTTTGAAAACAAAACATAAATTGGATATTTTATGTTAATTCACGCAATATTATGATCTGTCTCAAGGCATCATGTAAATCATGGGTGACACGGTGGCTGAGTGGTTAGCAGTCCCGCTTCTCAGCAAGAAGGTCTTGGGTTTGAATCCCGGTTTTAGGGCTTTTCTAACTGGAGTTTGCATATTCTGCCCGTGTCTGCGTAGGTTTCCTCGAGGTGCTCCGGTTTCCTCTACCACTAAAACATGTATACAATAGGTCTGAATGTAAAAACGTGTGAGTGAATGGATGGTGTTGGTTGGGGCTTTGATGCACCAGTGTGTTCGGCGTCTCGCTTCCCTCATCATCGCGTGTGGCGTGAACGGAAATTAACTCTTAACATTGTAGAGGGCTTTGGATGATCTCGGTCTGCATAAATGAGTAAATATAAATAAAGATTACTTACTTACTTAAATTCAAGACTATTATTTGTAAGTCGGCCAGGTTTGGGCCCTACTAATATTGATGATGTGTCAAGAAACAGGTGATACATGGGAAAATAAAATACAGTATAGCATGTAAACAGGAAGTAAAAGCAAATTGTCAAGGATCATTCTTAGACTTTGAAATGCCACATCATTCATTTGGATCCACCCTGAAACTTTAAAGTAACCGTACGTAATCCTCATTGATTTAGTTCAGTCAGAACAATCACACTTTCACATTGACGGGATGGGGGAGGGCACGGTGGCAGGGCAGTTAGCGCTTGTGCTTCACTGCAAGAATGTCCTAGGTTTGATTCCAACTTCAGGCCTTTCTGTGTGGAATTGGATTGTTCTCCCTGTGGCTGCTCCGGTTTCCTCTGGGTGCTCCAGTTTCCACTACCACTAAAAACATTCAGGAGTGAGTGACAACAGATGCAAATAAGCCCAAGACAACAATTATTAACATCAACATGCGCTGTTCTAACCAAATAAACAAATAATGAAATTAACTTCTGTTGTCTGTGACACATGTACAATACAATACAATACAATTTATTCTTATATAGCCCTAAATCACAACAGTAGTAATCTCAGAGGACTTAACAAAACCACTGAAATCACCAACACAGATCAGAGAATCAACAGTTAAAACACAAAAAAACTCCACACGGACGGACGGGCTATAGATCCAGGACCTAAGCTACAGAACGTGGACCAGGGCCACGCAGCGGCTTCAGACGTGGACAAGTCCGGTGCAGGACTGAAGCAGCTCAGGCGGGTCGGGCAGGGCAGTCCACAGTTGTAGCTTCTAAGCAGTGATTACTTGTGAAATCCATCTGCTGGAGTGTTTGGACGGTGCAAACACTGTGTATTGCCTGTGACTGCTTAATATACATGAACCTGCAGTTCTTTGGATCAATGTGTGATGGTATTTTTTGTTTGTGAATTTTGCTATCTAAGCAAAGATAGAACCAAAACCAAAAAAATATGGACATCATGCCAATTGTATCTCCACTTGTTATCTGTGATCACAAGTTTGATTACATATTGTATTTGTGTCCACATATAAAAGATGTGATTTGAAGTGAAAATGTTACATACTGTCACAATTTGAGTTCGATTTTTTTTCCCTCCACAAAATAAAGCATCTTGTGGAAAGGAGAAAGCATGAGAGTGACAAACAATGCTAAATCTGGCAGCCTATATTGAAATAACCGTTGTCAAGTCATCTCTAGGGGTTTGTTCCCATTGTTCCCAGCTTTGATTTGAGTCAGAACATTTACCCTACTTTTCCTTTGATGATGGAATTTTTCACTACACCTTTTCACCTGCTGGACATTCAGACACCTGAGCTTGAGTGACCTATATGGAATTGTGTGGAAATTCAAACATAGGCCCCACTCCCTCACAACCACGCGCACAAACACACACACACACACAGACACACACACTCTCTCTCTCTCCACAGATAATACCCTTGCTCGCCCTGTGCCCGCTTACATAACAGTAATGATGTGATTGCTGACAACACACGCACACAGGCACTTGTCCGACTTTTCAGGCCCCGCAGGATTACGGGTCCAAGGCGCTTAAAAGAGTTGGTATAAAATGTAATATTTGTGTGAAGTCACAGAGGCCAAACATTAACTACTTTGGGAGGCAATGTCAAAATCTAACTGTTCCGACCAGTGTGAAATGAAATGCAGTTCAAATTGTGTTTTGACATTGCCATTTCACAACACATTTAGCAAACAAGATGCATGCATACTTTCTCCCCTCTAGATTTTCCGAACAAAGTTTGTCTCATCTCTAAAAGCTACAGCCTCTGTGACCAAATTTCTCATTTAAAGGTAAAGTTGTCACCTTCATAAATCACACACTGTGATTTATTTGGCAAAACGTATCTTCATTTGAGCACATTCTAACTGCCTTAAAACAAGATTTACCATAGGGGCAAGCAAAATTATCTTATCTTTATCTTAGAAAATAAAGTAAAAGTTCTTGAAAATGGCTTTGTCTTTTGACCCATTGACAAATCTTGTTTTAACACATTCAGAATGTTCTCAAATTCAGATAAAAAACACTCGATTCAAGCAGTTTTTACCTCATATGTAAAAAGAAGTTTTCAGTGCGCTGGAGTGCTTAACTTTGAAACCACAAACAAATTCAACTATGCCATAAAAATCCTTGTAACTATTTTTCTCTGAAAACAGTTTGGCTCTATTAGTTTATTCTATTAGTTTTCAGAATTGTTGGCCTCTGTCAAAACTTTAGATCAGATTTCTTAGATAGAAAGAGATTGCCAGCCATCACTCAGCTCTCAGTGTGTAAAAGATATGATTTAGAAAATGGATTCATAAAAAATGAAATAAGTTCCGTAGTCCAGGTTTAACCCTGATTGTAAGGTTTGTGTAGATCTTATAAATCTATAGACGTGACCTGCTTTACCTGCACTCATGCTGCCTTCATGGGCTCAGGTAAACTGCCAAATACCTCCAGAGACCTCCAGACTCACCGTCAAGAACTAGGACCAGACAATCATCAGCTACGCTCAGACAGTGGCGAGATGAGGAGCATAGCAGAAGTGGCTGATCTCAAGATGTCCTACCAATGGCTAGAAAGGACAGCACAAACGCACTCATCATGGCTGCACCTGAGCACCAGAGCGATAGAGGCCCAGATATACCACACCAGACAAGA